CCCCAGTGCTGGAGACACACACTCACAACCGCATGCTTGGCTTTGATGTTGGGGCGGGTCCTCCTCTCTCTGTCCCTGTGGTACGGGGAGCCAGTGCCGTGCCAGGCTTGGGGTGGGTGTGAGTGGGAGGAGGGACCCGGCTGCGCGGGGAGCAGGGGAGTAGGGGAAGGTGGAGCGTGAAGCGTGGAGCCTCGGGAGCATGCTCAGCCTCAGTGAGCCCAGCCGCTCCTCCCCAGGGGCAGATGACTGCAGCTTGCCTGCCACTCCAGGTGAGGAAGCCGTCCCAGCAGCCTTTCCAGAACCACCGAGGGCGACTTTGACCGCACAGAGCCCCGCGCCAGCACCGGCTCTAGAACTTGACCCCAAACAAGGCGCAGTTCTATGTTAGGACTTGCGCGCCCTCGGACAGTTGTCAGGTGTCCTTTCGCTCGGGCCCTTTCCAATACACCCTTTTATGGTTCTTTTTCTCCTTGGACCCTTTTTGGTCTTTAATCTGATTTTACCTATAGAAAAATGTTGCTGGGAGCTCCTGACCCAGAATGACGTGTCGACTCCCCGTAACACGCAAGAATAGTCCTACAGTCAGAGCTTCTTTGAACATACTTTACTTTGTTTCCATTTCAGTGCCTGCGCACACAGGTGTGTGTGTGTGTGTGTGTGTGTGTGTGTTTATAATGCATTCTTACTCCTGCCTTTGTGTTTGCTGAGCAGGACAACGATCCACCCACCCACCCAGTCGGCAAATCCCCGCCTCCCCCCGGGGCCCCCCCGGGCTCGGTCACACCGGAGTCCTTTTCACTCCTGCTCCAGGTGTGACTTTGGTCTTTGGGAAGCACCAGGGACTGAGGACAGTGGGAACAGTGTATTATTTGGGCAATCAGAGATTGGCGGGGCGGGAGGGGTGCCCACCCGGAATCTGTCTTGAGGGCTGGCTTGGGACGGCCGTGAGCAGGACCAGGGGGATGTGGTCTTGGGGGCCCCGCGGCTGATGCGTGTATGAGCTTTCGGAACGGAGCTCCCGCAGAGGGAATGAGGGAACTGCAGCCCGGCCCCGCCTGGACTTGCACACCCTCCCCTGCTCATTAGCCCCGATGCTGCAGCTGCCGGGGCTCTGAGGGTGCGTGTGGCTACGTGTGACCGGTAGGAGGTGGGGGCGGTGGCAGGGCCGTCTCTGTCCTCCATCTCTCCTGTTCTAGGCCACTCCACGGCCACACCCCCTGCAGCTTTGTTTCTCCGGGAGGGACAAGGTCTGGGTCCTCTCAATTCGTGGAGACCCACTAAGGACTTACTGAGCCATCCCAGGCCCTGACACTCCCAGGGCAACCCTAGGCCCCGAAAGGCCTGGACATGTGCATTTGCCTCTCAGAAGGCAAGAGAGGGGACTGGTTCCAGAGCTGGGGCCTGTGCTGCTTCTTCCGGTGCCTCCCTGAAGTTCGATACCCACTGGGGACTCTCTCCTTGGCCATGTTGACAGGAGCTGCACAGGCCGAACCAGTGCTTCTGTGACTCCACACCTGGGGGGTGGCGCAACATGTCCAGGCATTTTGGAGATCGTGTCGGCCGATTTGCCTGGGTTTAGAACAGGGGTCAGCAAACTATGGCCCCTGGGCCAAATCTGGCCCACTGTCTGTTTTTTGTAAATAAAGTTTTGTTGGAATATAGCCATGCCCGTTCGTTTCTGTATTATTGGGAAAGCCTAGAATATTTACTGTCTGGCCCCTGACAGAACACGTTTGCCAACCCCTGGCTTGGAAGGGACTTTAAATTTGTTCTGCTCAGACACATGGGTCTTGGCTCAAAGACAGCGTCCATCATAGGGCCAAGTGCCAGGAAGATGGATAACAGTGATCTTTGTTCAGTGTACAGAACAGAGCCTAGAAAATAAAAATCAAAAACAAAACAAAAGGGAAAATGCCAGCTGTCCTAGGTCCTCTCTGGAACACTGTCTCGGCTGAGCCTTCGGAAGCATGGGGCACCCATCTTAATGGAGGGGCCGACAAAGCCTCGAGAAAGCTCAGGCAGAGTCCTAGGCAGTGGCCCGAGGCACTGTTTGAGTGAGCAGGTTTCCTCCCAGGACTAGAAGCCCCAGGAGCAGTGCTGGTGGAGGAGAGCAAAGTAGGGAGGTGCAAACGCAGGGGAAGAACCCTATAGGCCATCCCCAAGACAGGGCTAGCGGAGCTCCAGGAGACCTACAGCAGGGCGAAGCTCTGCGGCCACATTTGAAAAGAGAAGGGAGGAGAGGGGCAGCTGGATGGCTTCGGGGGCCTTGCATGGCAAGGAGGTGGCTAGGTATGGCTAGCAGGAGGTCTACGAGAGGGAAGTGTCAGCTTTGACCGGAGTCTGGACGCAGGGCGGGGAACAGGCAGGCGACAGGTGAATCAAGAGTGGCTCCAGGGTTGCTATGGTGGTTGACCACGTGGGGATGACTCTGAAGGCAGGATGGCCCAGAAGCAGCACAGTGGGTAGGCCACAGCCCCTGGCCAGGCTCCGGGGTGCCCTTGCGCGGGAGCTTCCCACGGGGCTGCACACACTTTTACCTGTCTCCCTTCCTCCCAGGGACTCCCGCTGGTCAAGGTCATGTGGTCCAGGGGCCAGAAAGGACCTTCCCCCTTGGATGGCTTCTCCCCATCACCCCCCTCCCGCACATGTCCTGCCTGCTCAGTGTCTCCCCCGACCCCCAGCCTCCTCCACGCTCCACACCTATGCCCAGGGTAGGGGTGGGATCTCCGGTGCCAAGACGCTGGGATAGAGCCCACGGAAGGGCAATGGCCTCTTTGTTCCAGGAAGCGGTAAAATGAGCTGTCTTAGGAAGTCAGCTCCTTCCTCGTCCTCCGGAGAGCTCCCCACAGGGTCCTGCACGGAGAGGTCGCTGGGTACCAGCCAGAGTGAGGCGTCCAGGCAGAGATGGATATGGGTGCTTCTGACTTTGAGAACTGCCCCTGACCACCTCAAGAGGAGACTCGAATGGAGCCTGGGGAGGCACGGTAGAGAGAAGTCAGGGAAGGCTGTAGCCAGGCGGCCCCCAGTCTCTGTAGTTACGAGGACCACGTTTGTACCCCAAAACCCCGGCTCTCCACCCCCACTCAGCCTGGCAAGCAGGTGCCAGAGCCACGGGGTGCCCCCTCAGCAGGGCCACAGGCAAGTCCTGGAGGTTTTGAAGGCTCTCAGGAGTCAATGGGCCTGAAGGCTTGAAACTGAGATTGTCCTGGGGGATCCAGGACGTAAAGTCATGATATCCACAGAACTTTCCAGAACCCGGGTGGTCCTCTGGCTGCAGAGGGACATCTCTGCACTGTACCAGCTTTGCACACATTTGACACAAGGGGTCCTAACCTGTCTCTGAAGAAATGACCATGTCTCAGGGAGTGAGTGAGCCTTCCATTCCACAGCAGAAAGGGGAAGACGAGAAGCTTGATGTGCTCAATGAAGTTGGGGGTGGGGGTTGCAATCAAGTGTTCCCACACAGGGACCTTTATCCTGCCGAAAGCCAACCTCCTAGAGGCCTGGCCGCCCTGGAGATGTGGTCCCAGCGGAGGGAGGCAGCCTGGGGTCGGCTAAGAAGACGGACAACCAGAGACAGCAAGCCTGTTGCTGATCCCTCCCTCTCCCTGGCCCCACTGGCCCCCTTCTCCCAGATTCCCCTGCACAGCTCTCCCTCCCCTCCCGGCAGGTACTCTCTCCCTGCCACCTGCAGAAGGGAGTCCCGCAGCACCCCCCCCCACAGCGGGTTCCTTTGGACTGTCTTCATCCCAGGCACCGCAGTGCTCCTTGGAACCAGGGACCCCCGTGATGCTTTTCCCAGCAGCCAGGCACCCATGGCTTCTCGCCCAGTCTCCTCCATGTGCTCATTCAGGGACATTTACTTAGCCAGGAGCCTGCCTTCTCCCTTGTCTGGTCGGTCCCAGGAGCCCCTCCCCCAAACCAGGCAGCCAAGGGTCCCTTCCACAGGCCAAGGAGGTTTGTGATGGCAGAAAGGAGCTTTTCTTCAGTGAGGCTCAGGAAACCCAAATGGCATGTTCTTTTCCCTTATCCAAGGCTGGACACTGAGGACGGGAATGGCGGGGGTGGTCAGTCGGCCCCACATTTCAGACCCTCTTCCTTGGCACTGCTAATGGAGACACTGGGACAGATGCAGTGAGATCTCCCCTCCAAACCCATGACCCTGACCTTTGAGGAGCCAAGTGATGGTGAAGTCAGAGTGGGAACAAGGGCTCTTGGAGTCAGATTTCTTCCCCAGATGGGCCGTTGGGACCCGAGGGGCCAAATGTTGGCTGCTGGTTGAGGGGTGTGGGTAGGGAAAAGTGTCAGTCCTTTAAGTGTTGGTCCAGAACTACTTGAGGGCGGGGGGTCAGAGCCTCTGTTCTCACCTGACCAGGGGCCATGAGAAGAGTGTCCCTGGTGGCCCTGGCCCAGGAGGAACATAGGACTTGCTGGAGTGGTCACTGCAGCCTCGGGGACCAGCAAGCCAGCAGCCCCCTAGGGCCTCCCAGCTGAGTGCACATGCAGACCCCCAAGTGAGCTTTCCACCTGCACCGGAGTCCCGTCCCCTAGCATGAACCCCGGGAAGCAGCTGTGCTAGAAAAGAAGAGGGGCAGGGAAATGAGGCCTGGCCGCTTCTGCTGCCTCTCACGGCTTCGCTTTCCCCCCAGACCACAGGCAAGGGGAATAAGCTTTCCCCTTGCTTTGACCAAGGAGGATACCCACTGCCTCAAGGCTGATTCAGGATCCAGGCCAGCTGGCCTTCTGCCCTGGGAAACCGTGGTTAGGTATCTGGTGGGTGTCGTGCAGCCGACACCATCGAGCATGATGCCCGACTCCCAAGCGCACCTCTCCATGCCGCCTCCTTCCTAACAGCGTAGCCTCAGGGACAGAGCCGCGGCCGCAGCCTGCCCCGCGTCCGGTGTGCCGGGAGCCCAGATGCCGGGTTGCTGGGACCTGTCTGCACAGGCAGTCTTGTACCCCCCAACTGCCGTGTTCCCCTTCTTCCTGCACTCCCTGCTCACCCGGCCTCCTGTTTCTCTTTCCAACCATCAGGCAACACTGAGGGCCCCACAGTCTCCAGAGGCCGCCTACCAACCTTCCTTGGGACTTCTGTCTGGGCCTCATCACAAAACTGGACGGGAGACCCCACGATTGATGAGTTTGCCCTGGGAGTCAGTGCGAAGGTGAAACCAAAGGCGAACATGGGTCAGAAGGTCACCGGAGGGATCAAGACTGTGGACATGAGGGACCCCACGTACCGGCCCCTGAAGCAGGAGCTCCAGAGCCTGGACTACTGCAAGCCCACCCGCCTGGACCTGCTGCTAGACATGCCCCCCGTGTCCTACGACGTCCAGCTGCTCCACTCGTGGAACAACAATGACCGATCGCTCAACGTCTTTGTGAAGGAAGACGACAAGCTGATCTTTCACCGGCATCCGGTGGCCCAGAGCACAGACGCCATCAGGGGCAAAGTCGGGTACACGCGCGGGCTGCACGTATGGCAGATCACGTGGGCCATGAGGCAGCGGGGCACACATGCTGTGGTGGGGGTGGCGACAGCAGACGCCCCCCTGCACTCCGTCGGGTACACAACCCTCGTGGGGAATAACCACGAGTCTTGGGGCTGGGACTTGGGGCGCAACCGGCTCTACCACGATGGCAAAAACCAACCGAGCAAAACATACCCGGCCTTTTTGGAGCCGGATGAGACATTTATTGTCCCTGACTCGTTCCTCGTGGCCCTGGACATGGATGATGGGACTCTGAGCTTCATTGTGGATGGACAGTACATGGGAGTGGCTTTTCGAGGACTCAAGGGCAAAAAACTGTATCCCGTAGTGAGCGCCGTCTGGGGCCACTGTGAGATCCGCATGCGCTACTTGAATGGACTCGACCGTAAGTGTCCTATGTTCTTCCGTCCAGTGTGACAGGGTTCCCGGACTCCCTGTGGCCCCGGGGTCCTGGCTGCACCTGACCAAAAATTTATAGCCATTGGAACTAAAATGTCTTTAAGTAGATATCCCAACGTATTCATATCCTCAGAGGCTATTCTTAACTGCCTCTGCTTAAATGAAGAATTCTAGCTGGAGTCTGCCAGATTACCTGCCAGCACCCGATGGATGGATGAATGAGTGGGTGGATAGATGGATAAATGAGTGGTTGGATGGATGGATGGATGAGTGCATGGATGGATGGATG